AAAGCAGAACACCCACAGAAAAGAAGGAACCATCAGAAACTGAAAGAGAAGAAAACAAGACTCAACAAGACATTAGCTTGGATTAAGGGAACACTTTTGATAGATGATAGATGTGTCCTTACATATATTTTGGGGGATTGGATGCATCTTTACATGTTAAATCTGATATTTAATAAGTTGGATTAATTAATAAAGACATGTTTTACAAATATATTCCTTTTTCAGGTTGCTTCATATATGTACATTCATGGATGGCTATTAAAAAAAAAGCAGCCTTTCTGGGTGGAAAATGTCAGCTGAATCAGAGGAAAATATCAGCTGCATGGGGGCCTAAGGGCCCTGGCCCACCTTGGGAAGAGGGTTGTCACCTGAAATGCATAAAACTTTCCACATGTCTATCATTTTAGGCCCCTCCCCTGGCAAAAAAAAAAAAAAAGTTGGTGCCATGAGCCAAATGACAATGACCACCTTGCACAAAAATAAGAGAAAAATTTGGGCAGTTGTAATGACAAACTCGCAAGAAACTTATGGAACAATCAAAAAGGTGATGGAATAGACCAGACAAACAACCTTAAAATAAAACCTCTTTGAAAAGCTCTTTGCTTATGTAAATCATTGTTTAAGTTTACTAATCTCCACAAATGAAACAGGGCATAAGATGCTGGGAAGGCTACCTTTCATGGACTCTAGACATTTCAGTGTTGGTTTAGCCTCAACCAGCTACTATACCCTTCATCTTTCTTCCCTCCCTGTAGTTTGGAAGTAAAGTAGTTCTAAAAAGCAGCACAAACCATGACATTTTGAAGTTCTTCTATTAAGCACTACTTAATAATATTTTGGCACTTTTACCATCTTCATAGGGGACTTTTGTAATGTAAATACTCAGGTCACTAACTTGGTTGAGGCCATTAGCTTGAATCAAACAGATTCCTTTAAAGGCACCCTTTGGTTCAAATTCTGCCCCAGGACAAATGATCCAAGCAAGTTAGTATCAATTTCCTCAGCCATTCAATCACTGTGGTAATATGTTTCTTTAACAACTGACCCCCGACCCGCTGAACACACACTTAACAAAGCTTCCTGTGAGCTCTATATTCTACTAGTTTTTCATCTGTTTTTCTTCCTTCCCACTCTACTTTCTTCAGCTTGAAGCTCATCATTTCATTTCCTGCCCTACTGACAACCTCCCATATAAACCTCTTCATGGGAAAAAAAAAAAATACACAGCTAATATTTTAACAGTTTTTGAGCAGAGTTGTTAGAGAAAACTTGATGATGAAATGGCCCAACAGTGAAAATCAGCTTTAGGGAAGAGGGGTGGTTTAACATTGACTTGGGACATAATTTAATCGTTACAAATGAAGAGTAAACCACAAAGTGTCAGCGGTGCTTCAGTGCCAATTCAAATTAAGTTGAAAAATGAGAGTACCCTGACAATCTGTATATAATTAGCAGTTCTGTAACAGTGGTCTATTTAACGTTGTCCCTGCAAGAGGCCTGTAATTCAACTTGATCATGGGTACTTGAGGGAAAGAGACAAGAGTAATTAGTCCCATTTTCAAGGATGTTTTGACGCTCCAAAGTGTCTCAATTTTACGGATTGATAATTAAACTGTTTGGGATTCATGTTTGGGGAGAAAGGAGAAGGCAGGACACAATTATAAATATTAAGAGTTTTAGCTGTTCGTCAATATCTCCCAGACATACCTCAGCCTTTCTAGTGCCAAAGTTTGACTGAAGCAGCAAAATGAAACAACTGGATTACACTGTAAGTTTATCATAAGATTGTTGATTTAAGTCATGCTTTAAAAGTTCCATCTATAAAGATTGTATTTAATTATTACAGACATATGATGATAGAGAATAAGTATTGGTTCAATAGGTAGGAACATCTATGTAATTCAAAGAACGTCATGTACTGGGTTTAAAAACTATTTATCTTTGAATACTATAACACTGAACTCCTTTAATAGACAATGAACATTCAAATGGCAAAACTTGCTTCTATAGATGTGTTATGTATTAAGTACACCTTAATTTTTCAACTGGAGGAAAAAATTCCATCATGTGCAACCACAATTCCCTCTCACCAGTTAGCAGTAGGCTTTGACCCCATAGCCGTTTGCACTGACTTAAAAAGTAACCTCTTGAGCTAGAAGAGGAAGCATTCTCCACATGAATAATCATTAGATGATGTGCCAGACATCAAACAGTTAGGGAAATCAATTTTCTTCCATCTTTTCCTAACTCTAAAATGTCATTTTGATCAAGTGGCTTATGATTAAGCCCAATAATTGCAAAAGGTATCATACTTCCAACTTACATCTGTCATAGTAGACCAACCAGGTGTGATTTAACCAGGGGAGGATGATACCCATCTGCCTAGCGGAGTGCGAGCCCTTTCCCTATACCAGGAGTCAGCAACCCCTGGCGCATGTGCCGAGCGTGGCACACGAGGCCATTTTGCTTGGCATGCTGCAACCAGCCGACTCCAAGAAGCTGCTTCCAGTGACGCAGCCTGGGCTGCTCCAGGCAGGGCTTGCAGCATCCGAGCTACCTGCTGGGAGCAGCCTGGGACCCCAACTGGCAGCAGCTCCCCAGAGCCAGGGCGGCTGCAGCCGGGAGGCTCCAAACAGCCGCTCTGGGCTCCGGCACCCGCTCTGCACCAGCGCGTGCAGGCACGCTGTGGAGTGAGCAGTGGGGGCGGGGCCTGAGGCAGCACAGCCCTGGTCTCTCCCCTGCTCCTGGCACGGAGGTGATGAGCCTGGCGCAGCTGTTTGTAGTCTCCTGGCTGCAGCTGGCTCTGGGGAGCTGCTGCCAGCCAGGGTCCCCGGCTGCTCCCAGCAGGCAGCTGGGATGCTGCAAGCCCTGCTTGGAGCAGCCCAGGCTCCAGCAGCTACCCAGAGCCGGGGTAGCTGCTGACAGCCAGAGAGCCCGGGGCAGGGGCTTTGGGTGGGGGGCAATGTACACCTTGCCCTCATTTTGTTTTTCTGCCATGCTGGCACTCCAGCACCTTCCGAGGTGGGCATTATGGTGTTTTTCAGCACTTTGGTCAAAAAATGTTGCCTACCCCTATAGGCTCTATACTGAAGAACTGCGGTCACAGAGCTCAAGTGGTCCCAGGTAGAGAGCTACAACCCCCACTACAGAGGATGGCAAAACCACCTTACAGTCCATATCAATCTAATCATGGGGTAAAATTCCTTCCTGACCCCATGTATGGCAATTTGCCAGGCCTTGAGGAGGGCAAGACTCTCTAGCCAGGAACCTCCGGATTTGCTCCTCACTGGCACACCCCAGTTGAAGTCCCCAGCCTTGGCTGTACCCAGCACCCAATGCCCCGGGAAAGTTTAAAAACACTCTGACTCATAGCAGAAAAGGGCAGAGAAAGAGCAACCAGCAAAGCCCAGAAGCATGGGAAATACTCCTGTTAGAAAACAGGCATAGCTACACCTAGGTCATCTCCAACCAGTGGCTGTCCAACCTCTTCCTGAACACCTCCAGTGACGAAGTCCACAGCTTCCCCAGGCAGTCTCTGCCACTACCTCACTGTTCTAACATTAAACAAGTTTTTTTCAGGTATCCAATCTAAATTTATTTGGCTGCAATTTCAAGTCATTGGTCTACATCCTCCTCTCTGCAGCAAGAGAGAAAAACAGTGCTTTCCCTCCTTATGGAAGCCCTTCAAGTATTTGAAGACTGCTATCATGTCCCCTCTTGAGTACCTTTTGGCACGTGGAACATACCTAGCTCCTTCAGCCTCTCCTCATGTGACTTGCAGTCCAAGCCCTTGATCATTTGCTGCCTGCTTCTGGATTCTAACTTCTCTATATCCTTTTTAAAATGTGGAGCACAGAACTGCACACAGTACTCCAGATGAGGCCTAATCAATGGTTTTTGGGCACCAAGAATCATAGACAAATAATGATGCATCTCTGGACAGACATTACACATAAACCAGTTTAAGTGATCAGAAATTGGCTTAAGCCTGTAACAGAACAGATGTTCAGTGCACATAAAGCAGTTTGAAAATGGCTGAAACCAGTTTGAGATAAACCTGGTTGGATGTAGTATCAGACTTAACTGATTTGGCTCAAACCAGTTTATGCAATCTGTCTAAGACCCCTTGCTGATTCAAGTTAAACCAGACACCCCCAGCATCCCGGCATTGTCTCTGGGCTGGATGGGGCTCTCTGCTCTGCTCCACAGCAGGATTGTGACCTCCCCTCTGCTTCCTGGCTGCAGCTTAGCACAGACTGCAGGTATCCCTGCTCCCCCCTTCCCTCCCCCTCCGCCTTAGAGAGATGCCTCTCATCATTAGCTAGCAGACCACATGCTGGCTACAGTCCCTGCTGTGGCAGATGGGACAAAGGCAGAATCAACAGGTAATGTCCCTTTCTTGTTTTCTTAATGGGGTGATAAATACTGCGTTAAAAATTCCCTGCTGGGCTGGTCAAAAGTGGGGAGGAATCCCTCTCTAATCAAAGCATCCTGCCAGGGCCTGGCTATGCCCCCCTCGGTTAAGTACTGTAGAAGGGAAGGGAAGGTTGCTCAAGTGCCCCCCAGCTTCTAGCCTGAGCCACTGCAGGCATGTGCCTGCATGTCTGGGATGTCTGTGCAGTTACAAAATGATTTAGCCAGCCAGGTTAGACTAACCTGCAAAGATTGAGTCAATTCAGTCTCAGGCTTTTTGAATGTCCCTAGCCTATCACAGTAGAAGGAAGGAAGATCTGGGTGCAAATTCTACCGTGGTTTCCATTCAACTAACTCTAATAATGTTATGGGTTGCATAGATGCAAAAAGCAAAACTTTAGCTTTGTGACTGCTTCTGCTGTGAAAGCAATATGCTCCCTTTAAATTGTTCACTTTGGATCTTTTAAAGTGCGAGACACAGGTATGAATATCAGTGTTCTGTTCTATTACCACCACCCTTTTGCTCCAGGGAGAGTGTTGATTTCAAATTCAACCAAAAACATTGTTTCAGTTATTTCATAAACAGATATTTGTATCAAATTATTTATTACCCAACAACCTAAGTGGCAGTGTATACAAAGATAAGGTAGCATGTGATTATTTACAAGAATTTTCAATGACATACACATGTACTCTTGTGAGGTGTTTTAACATATTTCTAGAACATGTTGTTATCAAGCTGAATAACTATTCCCCGCTCCAAAAATTCATCTGTGTTTTTACATAAAAATATATTGCACTTTTTACAAGACCAACTATTTTGCACATCAGATTTATAACAAATAGAATTCTGCCTTTTAAAAATAAGACTCCATGAGCAACGCGCCAAAATCAGATTCAAATATGGGAGTAAATGAAGTTCCCAAATAAGTTTTTTTTTTTTTTTTTTTTTTTAAATTAAACACATCACTTCAACATGAACCAAACTTCTCAGTTTGTATTTGGATCTTAAATTAACATTTAGACTAAGAAAAACATGATTAAAGCCATCCCATTCAATGAATCTATAATATATGCAGTTTAAATTCATACAGTATTCAGCCATTTGTTTAACTGGACCAATTATCTACTTTCATTATATGGACCTATGGAAAGACATTTAAATAGCATAGGTGGACAGTTTTTGAAAATCTAGAAAAAGTCACAAGAATTTCTGTAAATTCCTTTATGTTTGGAATTTTCAAAAGAAATTCACAGGTTTGTGATAAAGAAAAATACATAAACACATACAACGATCTAGAATTTGTTAAGTTATGGTACAGTATTTGAAACAGACACTAAATAAAATGAAATAGAACAATTAAAATCTGCATGTTAGAGGTGGACTGTGTAAACAATTTCAAGGCAAAATGAGTTTGAGGAAAATGTTTTAAATTACTTCATAGGTTTAGGTATGTGACAATCTTGGGTTTTAACATTTTTGTAGTGGAGGAAATAGTTACCCTCAGTCAATACTCAGTCTCAGAATAATTAAGTTATTCACTATGTCAGTTATATGTTGAGACTACTGCCAAAGAGTTCTTTTCAAAATTAATTTTGCCAGCTTATAAGGAGTTGGCTTTTGACCTGGCCTAATTTGATTTCTACTTTGTATCAGCAGTACTTTCTTCAAAAAATAGCACCTAGAAATAAATAGTGTATTTGCACTGTATATCTGTGTAAACTTTTCCAAATGATTTGTTGCCAGTTAACATTGATAAGTCAAGCAGTTAAATATGCTATAAGATGTTTAAATCTAACTTTCAATGACAATAAATGGGAGCACATCTGTGCCATTCTTTGTGGGTATTTTTAGCTCTGGGATGCAAATTAAACATTCTGCCACACAGACTCACAATAACTAATGTTATGAATCTTTGCAGTTTACAATTACATAAAAACCTGGTTTAAAGTATTGCTTCATGGTAGCATGAGATGTTTGCCTGTATTAAGGCACAAGCATATTTGTTTGTCTGGTTTTAGACCAGAGATGAAGAGACAGCCAGCAAAAGTTACAGACTATCAAGATTCATAACACAAGTTCAATTTTTAGCATTACTGACACCATAAAATGGTTGGTGCAAAAAGCACCTACTGAGTCACTTGCTTCTTAAAAAAGCAATTTTGAATCTTGGATTTTAAAGTTACTGGGCACTTATCTCAAAGCCAGCCATATTATATTCAACTAACCAGATATACTCATTGACATTCTTATAGATATTTAAGAATTTAATGCTACTCTTATTTTACAACAGATGAAAGAAGAGTTACCACTCATGATTCAATATTGGGAATACTTGTTTCCAAGAAGTGATTAAGAAAATACTATTACATTTCACACTGCAGCATTTCAGTTTGTTGGTTGGAGCATTTATGCATCACTTTGCTGGTATCAAAATACAAGACCAGAGCTTCCTTGTGAATTTGATATGCTTAAGTTTTAGGCATGCATATATACATTTTACAATAGCCTTTTTGTAAATCAATTGACTTGTTTGACAGATAATCAATCTTTTTCAAAATCCAGTTAAACAACAGAGGTTCTAGCATCTAGTTTGATTTTTAAAGTGCTTTAGAGTCACGGTGGTTTAGCAGCATAAAGAGTCTCATCATCCAGCTGCGTAGTTGCTTAGGAATGAATAGAACATGGGCAGCTTCAAGCGTTGCTGGTCCTTGCGACACCAAGCTATAACATTTCCATCACTATTAGCTGTGTACAAGTGATGACCATCACAGGAAAATGTAAGGCTGAAAAACAAAAAAATTATATCACATTTAGCCAATGATGCTATTTAGTTAAAAAAACTAGGGGAACTAAGTTAGAAAAATAAAGTACATAATAGCTGCAGTCATCCCAACATTGCTCGCTCACTGTCAGTAGAAAAAGTTCAATGAAAAGCAATATTTTTGTTCTGTGGGGGCATACTTCCTTCTGCCCTCTAGCTTGGGTAGAAGGATTTCTCAGTGCAGGGGCCACATGGCTTATGGAAGACTAGAGACAGAAGTTGGCAAATGCCATGGTACAGTGCAGACAGTAGTCAGACATAGTTTAGTCAGATATTTCCTGATTTACTGCAACAGCTCAGGGATCCTACCAACTGTTTTATTTCAAGAAACTAAAAATCCAGAAAATTGTACAAAAAAGTCCATTTTAACCACCAGAAAGACAAGTTAACATGATATTAAGTTAAATCTGAGACCCCTTCATAGATCTAAAAATAAATCTCTACACACAGGTAGAGAACAACTCACCATGGGTTGTACAGTTTCTTATAAGCACCTTAAAAAGGATAATGTCAAAACAGTATCACCACCCGTTTTCCCTCCTTGTAAACTTTTTTTTAATTAACTATTGATCTTTTATTCCAATAGAGTTTCTGTTGCTTCAGAGGCATGGTTACAGTATATCAGTAATTACTACAGGTAAAGACAGACAAGGACAGCCTTTTACCCTGGGATCCTAAAGATTTACAAGCCCCACTAAGTGCTTGTGAAAGAAGTGTCCATAATAGCTCTTCCTCCATTCTCCCCCTCTCCCACAATCACAGCTAATTTGAGTTAGTTGTCAATCATTCCAGGGACAAGCTGCGCATGTAAAAGACTACGATGCTCAGGTTTTGACTTGGTTGAATCAGAACAGATTGAAATGCAACATGTGTTTTTACCCATTTACCATACTGCAGGAAGTGTTGATTTAATGACAGCCAACAACATAGTTATGGTGTTTCAGCAGTGGCACCAGTATAATTTTTGAAGGTAATGTGTTACTGGTTAACAGCAATGTAGCAATGTGGCTGGGTGTCCACAGTGGCTGCTGCACACAGGAGCAGCAGCAATTCCTGCTTACTGCTGTGATCAAAATTGCAATGTGGCAAATGCCCTTTTTTCCCCTCCCACCCCAAAGCACATGATATTTGTCTCCATCATCTTTCTCTAGTTATACCCCTGCTGGGTTACTACTAAATCTGAAAATTAGGGCTGAAATTCTGCAAGTCCCTCATGTAGGGGTAATCACACCACAAGATATGCAGGACTGGGTCTGCATGCCCTGCTTTGGCAAGTGATTAACAGGGCTCTTCCCATGAGTGAAGTCATACAGCTGCTTAAGTGATTGTAGTTTCCAGTATTTAATTTTGGTCTCCATGCCACCAGGACAAAGTTGCAAGGGCCAAAACATAGTGTTTAATTAGCTGTTGTGTAAATTATTTACTATTCAAACTCATAATTATTTAAAATCTGTCTAACTGAAAATTAGGAACATCTTTTGAATTTAAGAGCTCCTGGAAAAAAAGTTTAAGACTAAAAAGAGCAACCATCATTCACACAGGAATCCTGAAAGCTTCAGTCTGTATTTATCTCATCATGCTAGCAACTGAATAGCTATTACTGTCATTACGCTACTATGTATTTGTGCTCATTTTACTTCTGTGATTAATTAGTAGGATCGTGTGCCTGTTTTCAGATAGTATTGTTACTCATTCCTTTCCCAAATGTCAATGTGTTCAATTGTGGGTGGGTTTTGTTTTGTTTTTATGAACAAACAGAAGTTGCATTTACTGCACACTGCAAAAAAGGAGGAGACTTTACCTTACAATAGGTTTATTCGATTTGGAAAATGTTATTTCACGTACAGGTTTCAAGTCCCATGTGCTCCACAGCCTCACAAGAAAAAAAAAAATAGTTTAGAGACATAAAAAAAACCTTTCCAGAACTATTTTAGGGATAAACATATGCAATTTAGGGAATGCATCACATAGCAATTAGTCAAGAAACTTTGAACACTGCATACATTCTCAAGATAAGAACATTAAATTTGAAACATTTTATAAAAGGACTTCCAGAACAAAGGAAAGGGAGGGAAGTGCAAACTCTTACCTTACAACTCCATTTTCAAGCCCCCCTGCAATAACGTTGACAGAAACTCCTTCAGGCTGGTTGGAGAAAGCAACAGAGCAAATGCTTTCCCTGCAGTGTACATGTCCTACAAGATCACCATTGACTGTCCAAAGTCTCAGGTCACTACCACCTCCAACTGCAACAAAATATCAAAACATCAAAAATAAAATCCTAGGCTAATTTTGACTAGGCAATTGTAGCTATTCAGAGGCGTGTTTAGCTCTAAACAAATCAGAAAATTTAGGAGTTCTCTATGCCACACAGATATTGAAGTACAATTATCTTATACTCACTATAGCTAAAGCAAGGAAAATGCTTGTATACCCAAACCCTCAGTGTTCACAGCAGTTTCTACTACCAAGCTCTATAGCTTTCCACTGACAAACACAATATGAACTCACCAAAAAGCTAGTTTTCATGCAACTGATCATTATAAATTAAATAGCTACTATTTTAAGCACACAGTTCTGATTAAGTTATCTCCACATTTTTATGTTCAATTTTAGGAAAAATAGTGGAATTTCATAGAATATTTTAAAAGTAAGAAGATCACGTTTGTCAATTATACACCAACACTTCACCCACATATAGGATTATCTCTGTATCAAGACAGATGTTTTTCTATATATAGAAAAAGTGAATGGTGAGATTAGCTGGCTGCTCAAATGATTCCTATTACATGAGGTTCTATTATATTGATACAATGACCGATTCTAAAATTGGTTCATCTTTAAATATGGTGTATAAGTCTTAAATGTCTTTGATACTGTACTCACCTGAATCACAAACTGTTGCAATATCACCAGTTGTTTCACTAGCAGAGACTGCTGTCACTGGACTTTTGTGCCCAGCAAGGCTCTGGACATAGCAAAGTCTTAAGAGAGACAAAGAGCTTTGATAATTTTCAGTTTAGAGTAAGAAAATTAAGATCAATCAAGATGGACATTTCAATCAATATGTATATGATAAATTATATTCACACTTTTCTACTCATTCTTAACTTAAACTAAAAACTGCAAACAAAAAAAAGAGACAAATGGTTTCTTTCTTTAGATTAAAATACACAGTTATGAGGCAATATTACATTTTAGGATTATTAAAAGAGGTGAAATTGCATGCATTTTTGAACTGAGGAAAATATATTTGTACCTGTTCAAGTCCCATATTACACAGGTTCCATCCTCGCTGACGCTTATCATTATACTGTATGGTTTGCAGACAAATAAGCTGGTTATTTCTGCTGTGTGACCATACAGATGTACCTGAGACTCCACTTCTATTTCAGATGGCTGAAATGTAACATTAAAAACACCACATTTTTATTTATTGTTTTGGAAATGTTTGCCTTTGAGCTTGCCAAATTTTGCTTTTGAATTGGTACTTGAATTTGAATTCCACTGCTTTTATTGGATCAACATTTGCAGATGTAAGGAAGGAAGGAACCTCCTTACTTATACACTGAATACATTCAGTTTGGGTATTTTTGTTGGATTTGAGAATAAGTATGAGACACTGACACAGGTATATGGAATATGATATTTCATTTGAAAGGTACTATATCCTCCCTATTCATGCCCAAACCTATAAAGCAGTAAGAAGGCTCTTGCGGGGCTGGTTTATTTTTTGACAATTCAACAACACAATGGACTTGGCAGCTATATCTGCATATGTATCTAGAGAGGAAGTGTTGGGGATAGAGGAAATAAGGTTCCCCCTCGGCTCCCAAATGTTAATTAAATTAAAATCAATGAAAGCAGCCAGCATTTAAAAATCAAACCAATGGTAAAATATTTTAAACTTGCTCGGAATTCACTGAACCACTGCCAAGTCCTTCTGCAGAGTTAAAAAAATAATGAAATTCAGTGAGAGTTAAAATATATGAAATTTGAAATTTTAGTTCAATATAGAATTCGCTAAATATATTACATGTAAGAGCTATCATTTATTTAGTATAGCATTATTTAATTTGAGATTTATTCAGAAAGTCTAAAAACAAAAGGGGGTATTTAATCAGAACATTTATGTTTCAATTAAGGAGAAGTCAGCGTACAAAAATTATTCCAATATCTCTGCAAGAAAGGGAAGCCTCTCTGCCATAGTATTTTTCCCCATGTGTTTAGAAGCATGTTAATGAACAGTCTACATATTTGTCTGAGGAACTGATGCATACAATAGATCTAGAAGCTGGAGAGAGTAATCAGTAAAAGATCAGAGAAACTGGTACAGACTTACTTCATGCTTAGCATGCCAACTGAGGATTTCCTGTACACTGTTTTCCAGGTTACTCTGATCAGTATATTCAGGTGATTACAGCAAGATTATGTTTTAATACTAATATGATTTAAAAGATGTTTCATTACAACAAAACAAAATTAAAAAACCCTCTATTATGTACTTGCTGGTAAGAACCTCCATTTTCCACACATTGTCGAAGTAACACAGTAGCTTACATTTACAGATGTATGCCTGCCCTTACACATGAGAACATAAAAAACAGAATTAGAAACAAGTCTTCATGGAAAAGTAGCAAAAAAGCAGAGGCTTACAATTTTCTCCTGAACTATTTATTTTTTTTTGCATTTTTGCATCTTGCTCTTCTTCTATACACATTTGTCTGTTTTGTTCATTGTCTGCATCCTGACACTATACAGGAAGCATTCAAAGCAAAGTTTTGTTGTTATTTGATATTTGTTTGGGATTTTTTGTCACTATTAGAACACAGATGGATAAATTAAAGAGATTTGGTCCCATTTCCCCTTGAAGATGCTTCTTCCCTCAACTCTCTCAAGATGTATTTCTTTTGAAAAAAAATATTCCAGTACTGATGTCTACCATTAATTTTAATTAGTGTTGTAAGTATGAAAAAAGTTGGTCAGAAACTGGTAATATATTTAAGGATGCCAGTTTTTTTTCTGTGGATTAGGCTGGATGACTGTGCTAGTGGCATCTGAATAGAGAATTGAGATCACAATCAGTGTCATATTCACTCCAACAACACACATTATTAAAATTCCTCTCCATTAGCAAGGTTAACCTCTGACAGACAGCCAGTAGCTAAAGGGCAGCACAAATAACTTCCCAATACCCAGAATCACCTGGTTGACAACTGATGAGGGTAGTAAATTTGAGTGCTGATTTAAGATGTTATGAGAACAGTATTTATTAACACAGTGGTTGAGGCTGACAGACACTATAGGCAGTACCTGGAAAGCAGCCGAGTATTGGTCTGCAATTTTCAAAAAAGAGCCCTGGTTTACTGGAGCTGTGAAAGTGGGCCTCCTTGGCTTCACGACTATCATCATACCCATCTCCTATACCTCTCTCTCTGAGAATTAAGCTTTAATTGATACAGTGTACTCCATTTATAAGAATATCAGATAAGTGCATAAAAATTTGCTTGGTTGCCTAATATGATGCCAGTCCCAGTTTGTTGCCTATTGCTTACATCGTAGCATGTCCTACTTATTTGCATACTGGTAAGTACCTACAACATGTAGGCAGTGAGGCCCAAGAGTTCCTATGCACTTACATTTTAAACTTTTTGCTATAGGAAACCTGGAAGGATGATGTGAACTAGTTGGCTTGAGTTATTTCCACTTGCTTTCAAGGTTTCTAACAATAGCCCCAACAGTAACTAGTAGAAACCTCAGAAGTTGCAGAGGAGCTACTTTGGAGAAGAACATGGCCTTTTAAGTTCCAAGGCTATATGGAGCACAATTTACATGAAGATCTGCTCTGGCTGACACTTCACACATAACATTTATAAGAGTCTGCTTCACAATTATCTGAGGGGCTGCAAGTAGAACAGATGCTGGTAAACATGTGTGCATCCCCCATACTGAACAGAAGCTACATAATTAGCAGCAAGATCATATTGTTTGGGTATGCAGAATTGTTAATGCTGAGGGGTTCGGCAAGGAGGGTCTTGCAGATGACACCTGAGCAGCAAAGCAAAGCACTTATGTTTATTGACCTAAAATCCCTTGCTTCAAATGCATGCATTGCTAGAGTCTCTTTTTAGCAACCTTGAAAAGAGAATGTTCCATACAAAAGTTTGCTATTCTAATGACCAAAAATTAAACTGCAGTTGCTTTGGACTTGAAAAATTCTTAATGAGTCATTTTCTCTGGTGACAATGGGGAATTAGCTAAGAATTTCTACAGATTAATTCTAATCTTAGTAAAATGGTGTCTTCTTCACCCAGCAGACAATACTAGTGGCTGCTCATGTTCTTGGCTTTATCAAGTAAAAGCAGCATGAAATTAGCAAGACAAATAAGTTTAATCAATGTTATTCAGAATCCTGTACATGGGGCTGCGTATGTGTACAGGCTGGACTGCCAAGAATGGTTGGCTTACTGCTGCTCAGAAGAGCAGAGGACAATGCTACAGGTACTCACAGAGCAGAGGCTACTAATACAGAAGATGAAATTTTTTTTTCCAATGCAGGTTATCATCCCACAGCTATTAACTGGCATCTCCTAGTAATACGTTAAGTGACATGACTAACTATCATGCTTTCCTTCTCGTTCTTTCCTCAGCTGCACATTGGTTACTTCCCCTACATGGTTTGTTTAGTGTCTGTGTACCTGTGCTAGAGAAAGCAAGGTCAGTGCAGCATAGCTTGAACTTGGAGCATAAGGTGGTGAGGTTTGCAATGGTTCTTGAAGACAAAAAAAAGTGCTCTTGAACTTGACTTAGTGGTCTAAGGGAAGTCAGTTTAGGGAGCAGAGGACAGTCTGATGTGTTTGTTGTAAATCTATACTGCTGAGGAGATGCACTGCTAAATTTTACACTAGGTGGAGTTTCCTAAACAACCAAGACTTAATGGCCAGGCATTTACTGTGCTGCCATAGCCTGGGTGTTCTACAACAGCTTAGTGTCAGCAAGGAATCCAAAAAGTACAGTACTACTAAACTAGACTGAATCAGTTATGTAGGGTCCTTAAACATAAACGCACAAAAATTCAGCATTTCTTTTGACAATAAAACACTGAACACATTCTCAACTTTATGATGGGGCATGTTGATTAGAAGTTCAGTGAACAAGCTGTGCATTAGAAAAAAGAATTTGCAACTAAATATGCAGCAAACATTTCAACAAATTTCAATTTTATAACAACTTGATCTTGTTATAAGCACAGCTAAGTTTTTTAGAAAAAGTCAGTACAAGCAGCAAGGATAAGAGGGAAAAAAGTCCATCAAAAATGCAACAAGCTGTTATCTGTAATACAAGTTTGCTGATATACTTACTGTACTACTGGTGAACTTGTTCACATATGCTGTGATGACACCAGATTTGCTACCTGTAAAAAGCTGACAGCTGTCTGGCACCCAAGCACAACTTGTTACCTTACCGAGGAAAAATAAGATAAACAAACAGACAAATCAGAGAAAATTTAAAGCATCATTTCAAATACTCACTCTATTTTGCATTATACTTCACTATTTTGCCAAATCTGGTTTTATTATCCCCCAAATGTAATAAAATACCTGAGCCAGATACCAGTTTAATATAGCTGCACTGGATCATGCATTTGCCATAATTTGAGAGCTGAACCAAAAGTGAAGTTCTGTTACGTCACTAAGCAGCACAGGACAGACCTCCCATCTCAGAGGCTTCAGTTGTCAGCTTGCTGGGACTACACTTCTGGTCACAGCACCAGCCAGAATCTCTGTAGTAAAACCCATCCACATCCATAGTATGTTCCCTTCATTAGAAACTGCCAAGCATTATTAGAACCTTTATAGCTGAATTTTCCAGTACCTTACCCAGGGGATGCCAGGCCCAGCTAGTTACGACTCTTTAAGTGCTCTTTCGTGTAGCTCACGTACTCGCGACTTTAACATATTGTTTTATTATTTCTGTTCAAACAAAAGTAACTTGGGTATAGTGGAAGGCAGAATAAAATTTAAACGGCCCATAAATTTTTCCTATTCTTGAGCTGAACTTTGTTTGGAAAGCTCTAGAAATTCAGGGTAACCTCCCTGTTAAAAGTACAGAGCAGCAGAATGAGGTGTATTCTAGAGAGGTTAAGGGAGAGAGGCATACACTGAAGCAGAGGGATTCAGTAGAGCAATAGTGGAACACTTGGAAGGAGGATCTAAGCATACATCAAGATTTTCAGTGGGATCTTATGAAATAGTGCTTTTAGGTTCATATGTAAAATACAAATGTAGTGCTTTGAGTAGTTCTTCCATGGCAAAATGTAATATATACTCATCAGTTCAGTCCCTAAGCACAGCCAAGGTTAGACTTGGATGCAACTTTGTGTTTCTGTTTTCTTCCCACTATATGTATATTTTGAATAATTGGATTTAAAATCATTATAATTTTTTTTAAAGTCTTTAAGGACCATCATGGCAACACTGAAATAGAACCTTACACATCAGTGACCTTGGTTCAGACACAAATAAGATTGCTAGTGACCATGGGGTTAGGTGAAGTGGTATATCCATTCTAGCTCCCACCGACTATACACATGCTCTGGGAGTGGGTTAGGGGGAAGGGGATTTCATTAGCGTGGCTCTAGGAGCTTCTCTAATTAAAGCTCCTCGAGCATTATGTGCATCAGCATCTCTGTGCTGAAAAATGGTGGCAGGAGCACTTTAACTAAAGCTCATTCAATGAGCTTTAGTTACAGCACCCCTGCCACCATTTTGCAGCATGGGGACACTGATACAAGTGATGCTGGAGTCTGCTGGATTGTGGTAATTACCATACTCCAACAGACTTCATTAATTGAGCCCAAGCTGATGTGCTGTAAGTACAGTGCCTCAAAAGCAGCCTTGCTACACGTGTATAGGTGCCAGGGGGATGTGAAGCGGCAGGGAGTAGAGAGGGGCCGGACCTGAAGTGGGGGGAAGGGAGGGGCTAGACACAGGACTCTATCCCTGCCCACTCCCTGTCATTCTTGACGGGCAATTTGCTAGTTCTGTATTAAACACTGCTAACTGAAACCTCTGCTCTTAATTGCCAGAGCACCTTTTGTAAGTCTGACATAAAAAGCGTTTCTGATTTTTAAAAAGGTAAAAGAAAGAAAGATTTTTACCTGGTG